CAAAACAGCTATATTCAACACACAGAGAGTCTACCATTCAGAAACCTGTACGTTTAAAGCACGCCCCAGCAAGAACCGCAGCTAAAGCAGGCCATACAGACTACGTTTCCTAGCAAGCTACCGTCAGGCTGCGGCCACAGTGCACTGTGACAGAAACCCCGCTGCAAACAAGCTTTTACTCAGTTGACATGAGGCCTATCCCCCAGACTATAATAAAGCAGAGACAGCAAGGAAGCTGTTGACAAGGACAAACACGCATTAAATACCTACCTGACTATGCTGGACTGTTGCAACCAACCCCCACAAAACAAGCAGGGGAGCAGAGCAGGAACAGACACCTAAAAAGTCAAGCCCTGCTCCCTATGACCGTGTCTTCTCCTCCCGAGGCGCAGCACAGACGGGACACCGGCGGCCCACCCAGACCAGCAGTCTGCTGGAACAGTGACCCGAGGCCGCTGTACACAGCTGAGAGGGTCAGGGTAAAGGCCATGAGATAGCCCCACAGAGAGGACAAAGCCAAAGGTGCAGTGGAAACTCAGCAGAGAGCAACAGCCATCGTTTTGAGAAACCAGCGGAGCCAAACCTGAACACAACGGTGGAAAACAAGAGCACGCTGTCAGCGTATATCCATCGGCAGTGCTGATGCTGGGAGGAGTTATAAAGAGCCCCAGCAATCAGGTGGGCTAGCACATATGAATTGCTCAGAAAACAGATCTAGAAAGCCTAAGACACCAAAGTGGGAGTGAGGCAGAAGCCACCTCCTCAAGCAGGCTACACACCAGCGAAATTTTGGCTTTAACAAGTCTGTTACAACTTGCCCGAGATCATGTTTTTATGGTTATTAAAACACAAGTCACAACGGCTTAGCGGGAAACGTTAGATGTTGCAGCGGCAACATCTTTGTAAGCGACTCGCGTGAGCCAACTGCCTTTCCTACTCAGTCAGTACTATGGCCCGCAAACACGCACGGTTCAAGCTGGACTACCTTGACATCCCGGAGACAGACGTATGTAATGTACACCCTGCGTAACACACTGGGAAGAGCAGTCCGCAAAAAGCCAAGAAACGGGCAATTCTAGTTTCTGATTTGGCATGCACTATGTTCTTATTTACGCTGCTCCCATATTACTTATAACCATGGATTGAAAGCGAGAACTAGGAACAACGGAACTCACACAACAGCCTAGGCTTTTAGACTCTGCACGTTGCATTGATTTTACACCCACACTGAATACCAACCTCAGGTTAAAGAAATCGCTTCACCACTTACTCCCCGTGTGGAACCCGCACGCCTTGCCACTCCTGGATTTCAAGCAGAATTTCAGAGGAGCCATACCCAGTTCAGGCTTCTATTTGTCCGATAAAACACTGTGCATGACTTCAGTTGGTAGAACTCATAATTGCTGTGCTCCCCCAGCACGCCGACAGCATTAGCACTGCTCGCTGTCTGTATTTGGGCCTGAAAGCTCAGCACTTGGAGATTGTTATCGCTCAGACACATCGGGATTAGTGTTATCCATGTGCTAATACTCACTCAGAGAACAGCTGGTGGCTGCACAGCAGACCTTCTGGTGTCAAAACCCCTCCCATTAACTCAGTCTTTTCTAGCCCTCCACTTAATTCCCCTCCCGCCAGATCAAGATTTACCCCATTCGGTCGAGTATTTGTTAATCAGGTGAATGTTTTTGCCCTGGCTAAGCGAGGAAGTGGCCTCTTCCTCCTTCACCCTTTCCAAAGGCATCCACTGTTGAAACAGTAATGCTCTTCTCGCAGCCACGCTGGGGACAGGATGACCTCGTGTGGCAGGTTCTGCCCATAGCTTCCCCGCTGCCACTCGCTACAGGGACGGCAGCACTGGTTTTGCCATCAACTTTTGTTTCAAGATTGGATTTTAATAGGTTTCCTAGCCTCAGAAATGGTGACAGTTCCCAGCGGCCGTGTTTTCCACTGAACTAACTCCAACACAACTGCGCTGATGGCTTTTAGTATCTTTTAAAAGCAATAAATAATTTCTGTTGGCTGTGAATCTGAGCCAGTGAACCCTTTCACGAAATTTCAATGAAAGAGCTAAAACCAGGGCTGCCTTCCTTCCCAATATTTAAGAGAGGACTTCAGACCTACAAACCAGCACATCAATATTAACTAATCCCTCCCACCCTTCTGAAGACATAGGGAGACATCAATATTTTAAAGATTAAAAGACTGAGGCTAAGAATGATTTACTCATGGTCATGCAGCGAGTCTAAAAGGGACCTGGGAAAACAACCTTGGAGTCCCTACATCTAGCTCTGCTGAAACCTCTTGGCAATAGCAACTGCACACTGGTTTTTCCTAAGATGTAACTTGATCATTACTACAGACATTCTTCCCTGGTCTGTGCTTAACAGTTTATGGTGAATTTCTCCTGTGTCACTTTTATTCCACAAACAGATTCCTGAGGCCGTCAGTTACTGGCAAAAGAACAGAATCATCTCAATACTACTGGCATTTTATATACAATTCCGTTATTATGAAGCCTGCTTAAATCAACAGAAAACAGTAGAAATGGGTAACTCGCACAAGATTACAGAAAATTCAGTTCTACATACCACACTGGTTGCTGTTCCAAGAAGCATTTCTATTAAGAGAGATAAAAATCCACTACACAAAACAAGGGCAAGGACTGAAAACAGGGCAATGTTATGTCCATTGCTCACACGTGTACTTGTACAGCAATTAAAACACTACCAATCAATATTTGAATCTGTACCCTAACTGGAAAAAAACCTTATCAAAACCCACATACCGATTTTGTTTCCTGGTCATGACGACACTTGATTAACCAACAAGCAAGCCATTCTAGCCACTTCCATCGAAGTACCTCTTACCCATGGGAACAGAAGGAGACACGGCACTCAAAGACTGGAAAGCCATCATCGCCACAGAGCAGGTGTCAGTTCAGGAACCTCCCGTATCAACAAGAGGCAAAAAAACCCAACAGAACAATCCTGTTTTGTGGTAGCCCAGGAATAGATTTAAGCGAAGAAAAGAATACTGACAAATTTGAAAGTCTGAAGTACTGTTAGCGCTGTGAGGTTTAACAGCCTAAGGCCATCTTGGCTTCTGTTTACGCTGCACCTCTCCGACTTACAAACCACTGCAGCTTCACCCACTTCAGCCCAGCTGGTTTCAAAGCCCTGAGAAGCTTGGGGGGCAGCTAAACATTCTAATGATTGGTCATGACTTTGCTCCTTCAAACCCAAACTTGGCAGTCAGAGATTTTGTAAAGCCTTCTGGAACGAGATGCAGGTAAGCTGCCACAGAATTTCGGTGTGCTCTGTGATGGGTTTTAAAAGAAATCTTTATTAGAACTCAGACGTGTTTACTCCTTGCAATGAGCAGCATCATTCCAATTCCTGTAATTAAATCCACAATTCTGACAGCTGAAATTGTAGGAATAATTGCACTGTTAGTCAAAATAAGTTGTTACTGTTCAGAGTGTTGCCAAGAATGTTTTAAAGGCTTCTACTATGTGTCCCAAGTAAATCTGAACTGAATCTTCATTCATTCTACCTCATTTCATTTCTGGAGCAAAGAACTTAAAACTTTTCCTTTTCCTAGGCAATCCTGAAGCCCAAACCAAGATTTCATACCATACTACTGCAACATTCCACTACAACATCAACATCATACAGAACACTTCTACTGATCAGTAAGTCATACCTAGGATACATTTTGTATAATCTTGTGTCTTCATCCCTTCAGATCTTTCCCACATATGAAAACAATCTGAAGCCAGTCACAAGAGTTTCAGAAATCTTAGGAAACCTGTACACCAAATACAATTCACCTATTGTACTAGTACTACATACCAGCCATCTACAACATGTTTCCTTTTATGAGACAAGGGAGTCAACACTATCAAGCATTGAAAAAAAAGTCTTTCCAACCACTTTTATTTTCCAGCCAAGGGTTACAGAGAGCACCAGCACAATTCCAAGCACAAAGGAAGAAATGTCATCTCGAATTAGCAGGTACACAGGCACCGCAGGAGACAATAAAATGCTTTACAGTAAAATTTTCCATTCAAAAGCCAACTGTGCCACCATTCAGAAATGTTTAAAGCAGAACAAAGCAGCTCGTAAAACACAACACTTGAGATGCGTACCCTGTGTAGTTCGTGGCTCAGTTAATAAAACGAGATGCGCTACAACGGCAGCTGCTCCGCAAAGGTCTCCCCTTCTCGCTACAAGAAGATGAGAAAGGAATAGCCTACTTCAAATACTGCAGTATCTTGTATAAGCACCCAGAAGGCCCAGCTAGCAAACGAAGCAGCTGGAACAAAAGCAGGACGCCACCTCGGACATCCAAAACGTGATTAAGGAAAGGTTTAGAAACACGTAATTTACAGACAGAGGCCGGTTGCAAAATGTTCTTCTTCCTTTTACAGTACCCATCAATCAAACATAATCCTCTAAAGGAAAAGAGGCCTTACCAACAGCCAAAACCAGGTCTGTTTTACTGTGACATTGAAAAAAAAATAGGGGAAAAAAACCCACAAACATGCTAAAGAATGGAAAACCTCTTAATGTCCCTGTTGGCAGTGCACAATGAACTCAGATGCAACAACTAATTGGATATCTACAGAATTCTGGCCATATTTGGATTTCTTTCAATTCACTGTATTCTGCAAAGAACTTCATTTATGAAAATTGTCAGACACCATTATTTTTATACCTTACAATATAAAACTCCGGGTGGTATTAAAATTTCTTCACCAGCAAAAACAGCTTTTACTATTTTCTTCCTCAGAACGAGACATCCATTACAAATCAATTCCACTAAAAAAATGCTCAAGACATCTAAAAAAAACACTACCTTGTTGAAAATTACATAGCTACTGGGCACAAAATAAATTAAAAAAACCCACAAAATACACAGTAAAAACTTATTGGTCTTATTAGAAACTGGTGCAATTTTGGGGAATACTGAGAATTCTAATATGTCAGAATCTGCGTTCCTTAATGTAATTCTGAAGAAACCTACTGATTTATTCAATAATTTCCCTATTCACAAAGGTTGCTTGTTCCTCACAATTAGATCAACAAGACTGAGCCTTGCCTCTCCAGAGGCCTTCTATAAAAGCAGAAGCTGCACTTCAGGCTTTGATTGCACAGATGTTTGGAACAGTTTGACTCTGCCTGTGCTTCAGAGAAGATTATAACGTGCTCAAAAATTCTTTGACCTGCAAAAAGAAACAAACATTGTCAATCAAAGAAAGTATTTACCAACAGAAACACACAGCACCTACATTTACCTCTCCATTGCTTTACTACTACCTACAGCAACAGGAACTGGTAAAGATAATCTTGGGCTTGGCTAGGTCATTTCTTGTCCATCAAGAAGTTTTTCAGCCACAGTACCTGTAATTTAGCAGGTGCTGAGACACACGCATTGGAATGACGCTCATTCCTCCCGTGGTACTAAACCACAGCCCTGCATCGCAAATGAACTGCCTTAAAAGCAAGTCTAACCTAAGCACAGGGAAGATAATGACCACCTGAAAAGATCTGTCATTTGGAAAAGACAAAATCACACTCCCTACCAGAACACCGTTCGCACGCAATGTCAATGAACAGCCCGATGTATCTAATGAGTACGTTCCTTAGAATCCCAGGTCGGCGAATAAATAATAAAGCAATTCCTAGCAAAACTACAGTACCTGTAAAACATTCAGCACTGTAAAACAGTGCCATAAATATTGCAGCTACTGTTGAACTCCGTTTTCAGTATTTGAAGAGTGGCTCAAATGGCTACAGCTACCTAAAACCTGAAGTTCTGGCCCATAGGACGGTATTTAGAACTCCAAGTCGGAAGTCCATGATCCTACACAGGGCACCAAGACCTAGTACAGCACCTCAAATAATCCATGCAATTGCACAGAACCGGATCCAAAACAGGCAGCGTGCTAGCATCACACTTCTAAGTGCGGTCCCTTTAGACAACGTCTTAAATACGGGTCACCTACCAAAGGTTATGGGAAGACAACGTGCTGAGAATGTGCTTCTTCCTACAGGTACGAATGTTTTTTTATTGTGTCCTCTCTACTCCCTCTCCCCAAAAGGGTAATTACTCCCTCCCTTTAAAGTGCAGGGCTAGGAAGAGGTGGCAGCAAGGGCCAGGCCACCTGTTTTTAAAGTACAACCACTCAACAGATACGAGACCCAAGGAATACAGGTTCTAGGCACAAAACTCCTCTCTCTCCGTTGCAAGTGCATGTACACTATGATTTCATCTGAACTGGGAGCATTTTTGCATAACTGGGAGCCTGTCTCTGTCCACTCAAGCTAGAGTACTGCATAAAAAGGCATCGAGGATTCACTAGAGAACGTGGTGTTATTCTTTTGGCAGAGGCTCTCTTACACAGAGCGCATCTGTAAACGTTTGTCCAAATTCTTCATGTGAGATGGAAACAGATCTTGGACCACATTCTCCAGTGTGACCCTTCCCTTCCCAGTTCAGGTCTCAAGGTGGTGGGGAGAAAAAGAGGTCAAATCCCTTCACATGGAGAAGGGAACACGGAACTGTGCCAATACTTGAAAGGTATCACGAGGAAGCCAGTCTCCACTTTAGAAAGTGGCCACACCAACACTGTGCGATGAACCTTCTCATAATTTACACCCTAGGCATAGTCTCAGGACTGGTCGCAAAGCAAGCATCGCAACAGCGGTGAGGAACACACACACACACACAGGTTTTAGGTCCCCGCTGGACATAAGCATACCCTAATGGCCAAAGTACACAGCCTCGTGGGTGAAACAGCGTAGCAGAGTTTAGCAGTTCTGTGATTCCACTTAAATGCCCAAAAGTAAGGCCAACGCAGGGCTTAGGCTGTTCCCAGGTAACCTGACAGCTACATAGGACTAAACTCCTCTGAAATCCCTATTTAGGTGCCCGAGCTTGGCCTTATCTCACGGTGCAGATGGGAAGCACATTCACTCCACAGCTGTGATGTGCAGTCATTCCATCAATTAATTAGCCTTAAAAGAGCAAATACTATGAAGGCTGGTTGTAATCAGGGGAACAGTTCTACTTCTTAGTGGATAAACTGAGATCAAAGACAAAGCTGCTTTTCTCTTGAGGTAAACAATTTCTTTCCAAAGAGTGGAAAATTGTGTACATACCATTGCTAAGGTCTGTAACTCATTGCAGCTACTCAAATTAAAGTCAAGTTGTCCTCAGCTGAATCTCATCACGATTCAAATACCAGACACCTGAGCAGTTAAAGGGTTCACAGTCTGGCCAAGTTTTAAAATATATATTACACCTTTTTGTGCTAAGGATTAGATCTTCTTCATACAAATAGAAATCTCAACTTGAATTCTTTTTATATCAAATAAACTTGTTTTCCATGCCTTCAAATAAAGCTAAAAAATGCTCCTGATAAATATTTGGCATTACCTCCTAAACAAAACAAAAAGCTAATTTGAAAAGCACCCCCTGAAGTTTCAGACCACTGCTTGTGAGCAGGATTTTGAGTAACACTAACAAACACAACTTCAATGAAGGAATAAACTTCAATGATAGTGCCTATTTAATAAACAAGACTAAAGATAAGAAGTGTTGCAGCAGGCTAGAAGACTGTTCATTATCTGAATGTAACTCCATGACAAATATTTTAGGAGGATGATTACATAGGGAAGTATATTTTTAGAGAAAAGGATCCTTATTTGCCTTAGCTGTACCGCCCTTTCCTGTGACACTATAACCAGAAGAGAGAATAGCCCATACTCCCTCTCATTTAGCTAGAAATATCTGCAAAACCTAAAATAGTTTGCCATCAGCCCGCTGCTTTGGATCAAGAATCAGCTGTAGGTTCAGTAAACTCACCCTTCAATTTTCCATTGTAATGGTTTTGCACTAAATTCTCTTACTGACTAGCACTGTAAGTTAGACACTTTCACATCTCAGACAAGGAAGACTTGACACCAGACATGCAACTTGAACCTGTGTAGCCTTCTTTCTCTCTCGCTCAGCAGCTACCCTCATCCTCTCCCACCCCCACCACGTGTCTTAGAATACCTGCGTAACGTTAGAAACAGGACATAGCAAATAACAGTTCTTTTAAACAGTTGAGGGTTATTTAAATTACAAACTATATTTGTAAACAAAGCTACTAGTGAAAGTCTTCTCAAACAAGCTTGGACTATTTCCTCTTCACAGCCCTCCCCAACCTCCCCCCCCCCCTTTTTTTTTTTATTGGAAAATTAACGTAGGAAACAGAACCTGTGTTCCTTCATGCTAAGTCTAATCTGACTTCAAAGAGATGCGAGAAGTATCCTGTATTCACTTTGACATGCTGGTAATAAAGCTAAATCATCGGTTTGTTCTGCCTGTGAAATTTTACCTTTTCAGTCATGTGATCATATTTGTCCTTTTTGCCTTTGAAGTCTTCATTAACATCCAATGTTAAAATAGGTATTTCCTGTAGATATTCAAAATCCGTTCTGTATTGAGACAGGAACAAAGAAAATATTACTAGTTGAAAAAGAATCATCATCCAATTCTCCATCAGCATTTTCCCTTGTTAAGAACCCCAGGAAAAGTACTGCATCTATGAATTACAGCCATGAATTCTGAATATAAAGCAGCTCAAATTTACAGTGTGGCTCCTAGGATATATTTATTATTGATTCTGAAACATTCTGTTCCCCCAGAAGTCCACTGTGTATTAAAATTGGTTCAGCTGAACCTTCTGCTACTCAGAGTTCTATGACAAGAGAAGTCAAGGCACGTTGCATGCTCTAGCAAAAAATAACATGATGCAAAGCCAATACCACTAAGGAAGTACAGACAGAAACATTCCTGGAGTTTAACTTTACATATCATAGGAAAAGCTGAAGTTTTTCTGTTGGAAAAAGCACTGTGGAACACGACTGCAAAGATTTATCCATCTTTAAGTAACCATTAAACAAACCCTACCTCAGCGTCCTATGCTGAAGCCAACTTTCGTGTTTGTAGTGAAGCTTCTCCAGATATTCAATGGGAATTTCTTGCTCTTCATCTCTTCCACGCAAGTAAATCCTATTTAAGCATTTCTTAAGGCAAAAGATTAAAAATAAAATAAATAAAACGTGGTTCTTTCTGCAGACCTACAGAGGAAGTCATCTTTGCTGGGGTTTCTGCCAACCCTTCCTACTGTACTCAACATGCCACTCTTTGCCAAAGATGAACATCCAACTCGCTAACTACCGTAACAAGCTCAGAAACATCGTGCCACGTTCAGCTGAGGGAGCCCACAGGCTACACACAAACTCGAAGAAGGACCCAAGGAAACGGATCGCGTTATTTCTTCGCTCCAAGGGAAGTTCGCAATTAAGCTCTTTATTAAAAGAAGGGGTACCACTGTACTGCATGAAAAGAGCACAGAAATACCCATTTGACATGACTGACAGGCATTTCAAAATCTCATTATGTATTTCTGGCTCAGTTTCCAAATGTGGTAAATCATTTGTTCCTTTCCTGAACTCATCCGAAGTCTCAATAACAAGCCTACCAAAGCTGCTTAAAACTGTTGTAGTTGGCTGTTTAAACAAACATTCTTGACTTTAAAAAAAAAAAAAAAAAAAGCCCTCAGTAGTGAGCCTAGTAAAAAAGGCCCTCAGAGAAACTCTGGCACATTACATCACGCAGTTATTTACAATAACAGAGGTGAAAGCATGGAGATTGGTAGTAAGGCAGTACAGAAGTGACCCCAAAGTTAATTACTGCGATTAGATCACTTCTAAACTCACCTTTTTCTCTTGTTCATGTACGTTTCATACTCAAAAGATAAATTCATTATGCTATCCTCTCCTTTTAAACATATATTGGAAGCCCAAAGGGAAAAGCATTGTCATAAAGCCTCACATACAGCAGATGCATACATCTGGCTTGGCTCCATTGCTCCAGGTGAAATGGCTTCACACACACGCCCAGAGCAGCTGGGACATTAACTATAAATTGTCATATCTATCACAGCAATGGTCCTATAGCATTTGTACTTTATTATTTTTCTTTCAGTTCCAGTGGTATTTTCTGGTTTGCTCATCATATATTCTGGTTTATCATCACATTTTGTAAGAGTACACAGGCTACGTTTGAAAGAACATTCTTTTTTTAAGCATTTCCAGACTCTTAGTCATAACTCGAGTATTACAGTCTTCAGGGGAATACTACCATCTGCACTGAACCCTGATCATTAGGACTCTTACAGTGAAAGATGAGGGTAGCTCAAGGTTTTGAGAAGATAAAATTTCAAGGAGAATTTCTCAACTGTTTTCTTGCCTGGGATGTTCAAAGGAATCCCTAAAACAAAGGCAGAGCGATTTGCAATGACACAAAACTGTGACCTTACCAGAGTTGACTGCAAACATAATTTATTATGAAGAAAGTCTAGAAACATAGTTAAGCACTACTCTTTTTTTTTTTTTTAAGAAAAAGAAGTGCTATGGAAGCACAAAGATCCAGTTTTACAGGCAAGGCAGAGAACAGGTACTCTCATTCTCGGTGCACCCATAAATTTTTATTACTCACCTCAGGAGTGGCTCTGAGATAAATTATCCCATCCAGAGCTAGGCTTTGACCAAACTGCTTATTCATCCAGTCATGCCAGTCTTGGTAAATAGTCCATTCGGTTTCGTTCATGCAATCGGACTCATATAAATTAGCTGCAAAGATGTATCTGTGAACACACAATAGTTAAGGAAACAAGAGCTGGCTTGAAAGTGGTTATCACTTAACTTGCCTGAAGTACTGCACGGTAATGAGAAAAGAAGCTGAGCGTAGCAACTCTGTAACTTCTCTGATGTATGCTTGGACTGGAAATAAACAGCTGGTATCTGCACCCTCTAACTATGTCCCCTGCAGATGCCACAAAGAGCACTAACATTTGCAGCTCAGGTATCTGTTGAGGAATAACCCACAAACACCACTGCTTGGTGCACTGTGGTCATTTATTTACAACGTATTAGAACACAGTGAACACCTAAGCTTAGCAATGGGCTTCTAGTTATCAAACCTGCCCTTCCAAATCCAGCAACACAGGATACAGCAAAAGGAAACAGACTGGCGTGTTTGAAGAAGCTTAAAAGAAAACAAGACTAAGCAAAACAGAAAGAAATTGCTCAACCCGATGCCTACTCCCCTCTACTCTCTGAAGGGAAACAGGCATGCGCAAATCAGAAAAAACACCCTACCCACAAAGAGTGACAAAATGCACATAGTTAAAAAGGTCATACAACAAAACTGTAAGTCCTCAACAAGTAATTTTACTTTGCTTTCAACACCCATGAGAGCGTAAGGTAACAAACCACATACTGAGGTTATGGTGATGCACCAGCATCAAAGTTACAACAAAAGGCACAAAACTCAGTCAAGATCTGCTTTTTATTTATTTATGCATTTTACTTAGGAGAATTTTGATCTTCACTTCAGTCCAACATACCTGTCACTGTAGACAGATCGCTCGAAGAAGACCACAGGATTCTCAGCCTCCCTGAGTTTGCCATCAAGGGATCTGAGCTGAGCCCGGACCCTGCTGAGACACGCATAGGTCTGGAAAGTGAAAGACCACCTCTCTGGTTTCTCATACATCATCCGAAGGACGTTTCCACCACTCTTCTGTGACGTGGTCAGCTCCTGGTTTTAAACAAATACAATGACCCTTCAAGTTGAGAAGGTGGACGATTCCGGTAGAACAGAATTATTGCTCTATATGTTGAAGCTGTTCAGCCTTTATTTCAGGTTTACAATTGCATCACTTGCCTCTCAAGCCTATTTGTAATACAAGGCATAAATGCCAGTAATGTTATTCTTCCTATGGCACTGAGCTGAATAAGCTACTCTCTCCAATCTACATCATCAAGATGCTCAAGTACCCTTTGATCACTCTGATCACTATTTACAAGCTTTAAAAAAAGAACAACATGGTATCAGTACAAAAAGTCAACAGCACTGTAGAAAAATCCATGCTCCTTTTACCCTGACAAGTGTGAGTTTAAAGTTGGGGTTGTTTCGTTTTTCCATCTATTAATTACAGCTCCAATGGCAACAGCTGCTGATGCAGCATCTTAGAGATGGGACTATGCTCTCATCTTGCCCGAGAGATTCAGAACAAACTCCAAGCCAATGATTCAGCTCACGAGGGAGATCAAACAAGTCAAGAGAGCAACATCCTTTTTTCCATCCATGAGCATGGAAAAGGAAAGCTGTGTGACTCAGTTTTACTAGAAAGCACAGCCTACCAAAGATCATAGAATCCCAGAATGGTT